TTAAGTAATGTTTTTTCATCTGTTAAGACGTCCACCGCCAAAGGTTTGCTAATTTTACTCTCTATTTTAGAGACGCCAGTCGAATCCTAACAACTTAGAGGTATGTCATGTATTTTATTCCAAAGAGGAACAGAATCAAACTCATAATGTTTAGGAATAAAACCAACAATCCATTTTTGAAAAATAAATGGCTTCCAAAAAAAAAAAAAACATGGCCCATTCGACCAAAACATCTCAAAATCTTCAAGATTAGAGAATTTGAAAAGAAAAAAACTATCACTTAAAAACAAAAGGGTTAGGTTACCTTTTAGCTGCCAGGTCTTTTTCACAATAGTAAGAAGGGTTTCATAGAAAGGGCGCTTATCAGTTGCATATCACACTAGAGATAGTTTCCATTCTTTGGATCCTTCTAAGATTTCTTCCTTTAAAAAGCATAGAAAGGGTCCTTATCAATGAGGAGCACATATGAAAGAAGAAATTCCACTAAACTAGGGTTTTTAGTCGAGAGCAAAGATTTTCAGTTAAGATTAACAAATGTCGAGACATCAGTAGGATTAGATCTGTGTATGTTGGTTATGGTAGAATTTAGATGTGTGAAATCACCACTGGAGAAAGGGTTATTCTTTTGCTTATAAATATGAGTTGATGTAGAATGATATTTTTATTATTGAAAGAAATATTTTGATGGAGAATTAATCTTTATTTGTTTATTTTTCTTGGTTCAAGAGTTTGCCTTTTTGGGTGAGATTCTATGGTTATCTTTTTTTTTTTTTAATCTTAGATTGTTTTACTCATCTTCTCTAAATGTCTACTTGCAACCTTTCTAATATTTTTTCTCCATTCTAAACTTCCTCTAAGACCAAATAAAACTCAATCGAAGCATCAAAACTACACCAATAACATCACAAGTGGCTCTCGAACAAATTGGGAAAAATTATATTTCAATCTTGTTCTCTAAATTTCAACATGCACTTGAACTCTATCAAAGTCTGTCATATTTTTCTAAAGAATTTGTCATCAAAACTAACACTTCAAGCAGTGATATTGATGCTACTTTAGTGTAAAATGGCCATCCAATTTTCTTCTTTAGCAAGAAATTGGGTAAAAAATGCAACTCTCATTCAATTATATCAAAAAATTATTTTCTATCACTAAGGTTGTGTGGAAGTGAGGTAATTGAAGTTTGAAAGAACTCAATACCCAAATCATTCAAACACTATATCAACAAAATTACCATAAAAAACTCTTAGGATTCAATTTTCATATTGAAATAAACTTGGTAAGTCTACTGAAGTTGTTGATTCTCTATCTCAAATATATAACAATGAAGCCACACACCCAACTCTTCACCAATAAATGAGATTTATGTTTTCTCATTTGTCATAATTTTTGTTTCATTGTTGGATGAATTATGCAAGGAGATTGCTTCTGCCCATGATCTATTAAGTATTCAACAAAAGTTAAAACAAGATGATCTCTTAGCTATTGAATGTCTAGGATGGACTTCTATATTATACATGCAAAATCTATCTTAGCATTTTATTCACCCAAAAACTAATTTGCTTTCGGAATTTTACGATTCATTAATGGATTGGCATGGTAGAGTCTTAAAGACACTAAAAAATATCTTGGTAAATATATATTGGCCCAAAATGCGAAAGGATATGTATGACTATGTAATTTGTTGTCTAACTTATTAAAAGATCAATGTATCTACAACCACCCAACCAATTTATTGTGCCAATTATTAGTTCCAAAATAAGTTTAGAAGATATTTCAATGGTTTTGTCATAGGGTTGCAACCTTTAAGAGGGTTCACTACTATCTTAATGTTCATCAACTATTTATTTATGTCCATTTTGGACCACTGTCCTCTAGTTATATGGCTACAATGGTGATGTAATTATTCACTTAGATAGTTATACATCTTCGTGGACTTTAAAAGATAATTATTTTTATAAAGAAAGTGTTTTTCTCAGTAGTTTTGGAGATAATTATTTGGTCTCACTAGAATCACATTTCATCAAAGCATGACTTATCATCTCCAAATGGATGGCAAAACAAAAGTGTCGAATCATTGTCTTGAATAATATTTGCAAACATATTATTCCAATTGAACTAAATTATGTTATAATTATCATTGCTGGGCTAAATAGTGATATAACACAAGCTTTCATATAGCTATACAAATGGCACCTTATCAAGCCTTATATTGACAATTGCCACCAATAATTCTGACTTACATTTGAAGAAAAATTATGATTGCAACCTTGGATTCGACTTTGTTGTAATAAATGATTTGCTGATAGTGCTGAAATTAAATCTTCAACTAGCTTAACATCATATAAAGGTTATGATCAATCATCATTGTTGGGATGTATTTAGATAGTTGATTGTACTAACAAAAATCTCTTTGTTCCTCCATTAGCAAAAAATTAGCCCAATAATTATATGGTCTCTTCAAAATTATAACAATAATTAGTTATACTATTTATCATTAGAAACTTTTGTTGAAAATATCATATCCACCCAATTTTTCATATATCAGTTTTAAAATTGTTCAAAGGTCATGCACCTTCAATTTGTATAACTTTACCTACCTTAAATTTCAGTAATCAACTAGTACTTCTTCTAGAACACATTTTAGGATCATGTTGACAATATTGTCATAAACACCTTCAAATGCTCATGCAATGGAGTAATTTTATCGCTGAAAAACTACTTGTGCTATTTTCACTATTTTATATTGCTCATTCCTAGCTCTCAACCTTTAGGAGGTTGATTTCGATGAGGGTGGGAGTGTTAGGCAGGATATTATAGTATTGTATCCCTCATTGATTCAAGAACAAAGCTATAAATTAAACAAATTATAGAAAAAGAGAAGGCAACAACTCCTAAAACTATATGTTGCCAAAATAGGGGGAAGAAGCAACTGAACAATCATTCAAATAGAAATGAGCAAGATCTAACTTGGTTGAAAGGTTAGTTCGAGAAATAGCATGATAATATGTTGTTTGTTTGAGCAGCTGATTGATTTCCTTAAATATCCTTAATTGTGTAAATAAACAACTCTTACAACATATATAAACAATGGGGATAGGAATAAGAAAGTGACTAAGATTGTTTTGCCTATTTCCTTTCAATTTGAGTTTTCGGGGATTTTATATGCTTGAAAGATATAATTTATGATTGTATTATTTTAGCTTTATTCGCTGCAAGCTTAACAAAATAACTCCTACCATCATCATTATATGAGATGCTTATCATAATATAATAATCTTTTATTTAATATTGAATAATAGCAAACCTTCAAAATTCTTCTTTTAAATTAGTTGAATTTTTCAATAGGAGAAGACTGATTTTTCTCAAAGATTTTCTCATAAATTTGTATCACTTATGTGATGCTTCCTAGTTATCTATTTATGTAGAAGACCTTTACAAATTTCTAAAGACACTCTCTCTTTCATGTAAATATTCTAGGGGTTTTTACATACATAACATTTAAAATTGATCTATTTACTTATCTAACACCCAAACTTTGCTATTTACTATTCTACCACCTAAAACACTACTAGGTTACCTAAATTACCACTCCCGTTACCTCCCGTTACATCCTTCACCCCATCCAAAGAGAACGCCCCGATGGAGAAACTCCACGTCGCCCACGCCTGTCGTCTTCTCCACGCCGCCCTCCGGTAGTTTTCTCCAGGCAATCCGAATACATCCCAACCAATCCAAACTGTTGTCCACGCTGGTCGTCTTCTCCATGTCGCCCACGACGATGGTTTATTTTATTTTGCTTCTACTTGTTTCCCCTTAACAAATTAATTCAGAAATGCAGCATTTTTTATTCACAAATGCAGGCTGAACCTTTAAGTTTTGATCTCGCTCATGTTCTGAACTCTCAAAAGTTACTTCTTCCTGAAATTAGTGTAGTAGATTCAGATCTCGCTATTGCAAATAATTGCTACACTGCAAAATCTAGGATAATAATCTGAATCTAAGTACACTTCATTTGAAACAAGTTTTTTCTTTTTCTAAACATTTTATCTTAAAGTTTTGAAATGAAAAAGGTATATAGGAAAACAAATCTGACACAAGCAGAAGGCGAAGTAGAAGCAAAAGTTTCGGATGAGCCGACCAAGCGAGGCAATGAAGGCGAAGCAGAAGTTTCAGAAAGATAGGGTCGTAAAGATTAATAATCAAATTGACTGCTATGTTATGTAAAAATCTCAATATTCTAATAATATAATAATCAAATTGACTGCTTATTTTTTATATGTCCATGCTAACAAGTTCTTAACAAACCTAATAAAAATTGATTAGCCGTTAAATTCCAAAAAATTTAAATGCTTAAATATGCAAATATTATATGGCAATGCTAAAGTGACATGTTACTAAGTACTAACCACAAACTTTGTTGGAAATAAAAACATAGAATGAGTAATACTTCATCTCAAAAATTATAAGATTTTATTTTTCATATTGACAATGAAATATTTCAAATATATTAATGTGATTATTTAGAAAAATATTTATTTGAAAATAATGGCATTATTTTTAAATAATTTATTAAACTTGGCCTCGGTATTCACAATTTAAATAAAAAAATGTCCTCGTGTCATTGTGTGGCTAGCAAATATATATAAATATTTATTCCTGAATAAGAAAAAGGCTAGCATGTCAGAAAAATTGAATCTTTGCGGCAAGCGTCATTTTAATATTTAAATAAATTTATATTGCCGACTACTTAAAAAAAAAAAAGATAATATTTAAAAATAATCCCTACTCCCCCTTCGTATAAAATAGTCATTCTCCATGCTGATGTATTGCCAAACTTAATTACTCCCCTGGCTTGACAGTTCTCCTCTCCTCCTCCCGCCATGGCTTTACTTCCGGCCACCATTACCGCCACCGTCCGCCCTCTCTCCGCTCTCAACTCCAGTAATGATCCCTCCTACGTCCGCATCCTCGACACCACCCTCCGCGACGGCGAGCAAGCCCCTGGAGGCGCCATGACCGCCGAGCAGAAGATCGCCGTCGCCCGAAACCTCGTCCTCCTCGGCGTCGACGTCATCGACGCCGGCTTCCCGATTTCCTCGCCGGAGGATTTCAATGCCGTTAAATTGATTGCCGACGAGGTCGGGAATATGCGAGGAGGGCATGAGCCGGTCATCATGGCCGCGGCGCGCTGCTCGAAGATTGATATTGATACGGCGTGGGCGGCGGTGAGCGGTGCACGGCGGCCGAGGCTCGGTACCTTCATCGCGACGAGTGAGATTCATATGAAGCATAAGCTGAAGAAGAACGCAGATGAGGTGGTGGCGATTGCAAGGGAAATGGTCGCGTATGCGAGAAGTGTCGGCTTTCAAGATATCTCCTTTGCCGCCGAGGACTCTCTCAGGTGGGTGACAAATGAGGAATATTTTTCCTGATTTAATGTTGAATTTAGTTTTTTTTAATTCTTATATATATTTTCAGATTTAAATATTTATATGAGTGTGATTAAAATTGAGTTAAATTTATCTTAATTAATTAGTAATTTATAATTATAATTTATTCTGCTCATTAAATAATAACTTTTTTTTGAAAGCATGGGAGTGCTCAAATCGGACCATAACGATTTTCAAATATTTTTTTGAATAAGAATATTAATTTATTTTGATGAATTAGATAAAAACAATATCATTTATTTAAATTACTCTAATTTTATAAAGATAATATTAATTATTAAGATTGATTTGAAAATTTAATTTATTTGATTGAATTTTATAATTATTTTAAAATTCAAATTAGACTAATTAAACTATGATTAATATAAATTAGCATAATAAGTAATTATTAATTAGTTATTTATTAAATTAGTTAAATATAATAACTTGTATTAACTTAAATTAATTTAAATAATGTTAATTTCTTCATTGAAATTTTCATTAACTAATATTTTTTATTATGATTATTTAAATATTTAATTAAAATAACTTATTTCATTAATACCAACTAGTATAAATAATTTTCAAAATAATAAAAATTTAATAAAAAAATGTTGTTAATTAATGTGTGAAACCCTCGTCTTTCTCCCCCAAATCCTTGTCACTCATAGTTTTGAAGCCCTCCATGACAAAGAAGTGAGGAAGTTGCTGCGGGAGCTTAATGAAGAAGGCATCGAAACAAATAGCGGTGTGTGAAGAATAAGATTTTGTTTAACATGCGAATTTAAGTTAAATTAATAAAAAGCCCAGATTTATCAAATATGTAATTCAAGGTAAAAAAGGATTTAGATTAAATCATTTTTAAATTGATTTAAATTATGATTAATAATCACATAGATTATGATTAATGTTGTCGATATTTTAAGATAGTTTTTAGTCTTATTGCGTGGCGGTAGATAGATAAGAAGCTTACGTCTTAGTTTTCCACAAAGATTCAGCTCATCGATAGATAAGAGAGAGGGGTGCAAAATCATAAGAGACATAAGAGTTTTTATGTGAAAAACCCCAAAAGGGGGAAAAACCACAGCCTTGCCCAGTTGAAATTATTCCACTAATTTTGGTTGTTGATTACAAATGATGTCCTTCTTCGAGGAAAAATGTTGGCTCAATATATCAAATATACATTGTATATAACACATTATGTAGTTTAGAGTTGGGAGAATCCAATAACATGAGAGTTATTCACAAGAGAGTATTGACATGTTCATTTAGTCGGTAGGATTGTATTTGGGTGATAGAGGTTGAAGAGATCATAATCAACAAGCAAAGGAGGTTGGAAGTACTGTAATCGGTGATGGAGGCAGAAAGGACCATGGTCAGCATATGGTGGTCAAAGGGACCTTGGTCGATAGGCGACAGGTTGGAAGGACTGTTGTTAGGTGATGGTAGTTGGAGGGATCGTAGTCGGGAGACTAGGGTGGTTGGAAGGATCATAGTTGGGTGACGATGGTCGGAGGGACCGTAGATCAGAATTGTGGTCGAAGAGATTGTAGTCGGCGCGCGGGCAATGGAGATCAGAAGAATAATAGTTGGTCGATGATGGTTGGAGGGAATGTAGTCATCTGGCAAGGGGTGGTTCGAAGAACCATAATCGGGCGACGTTGGGCGGTAGGGGTGTCAAAAGTTGACACGACCTAGAATCAACTTGAAAAAATTCAAGTTCATGTCAACCCATTTGTAAAACAAGTTAGGCCCGGGTTAATATTTTTGACCCGTATGAAAATTGGGTCGAGTTCGGGTTGGTTTTCAAATTCCTTGTTAAAGATTTTGGGCTTGTTAGAGAACTTGAGCTACCTTGAAGGTGAACACAGTTCTGTTGTATTTGCCTATACGTCAGATTTTTCTATTGAAAAATTAAGCTCAAGAAATGTATATTGCCTCATAATATACATTGAAAAGCAATTATTATGTATGTAGGTTTCATCTTACTCTTTAAGTTTTTTTTTTCTTTTCTAATGACCCTTTAGAGAATGTGACATTCTCCAAACTAATTTTCATTTTCATAACCTCTTTCTCGTTTTTCTTTCTCAACATGTATCAAAAGTTTTATTCATAAAAACTTTAAATATTTGGAAGCTTTTGCTGTTTTTTAACATAAAAACGAGTTGATGCTGTGATTTTAAAATTTTCACAATTGGGCTGGGTTGGCTCGTAAGAAAAAAAAAAGAAATCTACGTGTCAGCATTTTATTAATAACAGGAAAATCAATTATTTCCGGCGAAATTTTCTGACGGAAATTGAGCATTTTCGGACGGTTTTCTAATTTACTGGCGGTTTTCTAACTCCACAAGTAATAATTTCTCTTTGATGACATCTACATTTCTTAGTTATTAACCTTCACTTTTTTAATGGAAGATAATGATATATTATATGAATATAATATTATACTTAATAAATAAAATTAATTATAGTGAAAATGTAAAGTTATTCGTTTTCACTTAAAATTCGAATTAACTTTACGCTTTAGGTGAGAATGTAAAATAAATTTGTATTTTTAGTGAACTTATAAATTGTATGTACATTTTCATCTAAAATTAAATAAAAATTGGGTTCACATCTTTAAATTCTTAATTATATTTTAATCGTATTATTTTTACTTAATTATTTATAAATAGTGCTTCTCCTTAAAATTTAGCGTAAGCAAATTGTAGCCTGTTCTAAATCAAAAAATTTTTCACCCAAAGGTCGGATAAGGATTTCCTATGCCGTATTTTCGGGGAGGTTATAAAGGCTGGGGCGAGAACAGTGATCATAGCAGACACAGTCGGCTGCTCTATGCCATCAGAGATCGGTGGATTCGTCGCATACATCAGAGATCACACGCCAGGCATTGAAAATGCAATTGTCTCCATTCATTGCCACAATGACCTCGGTCTTGCCAATGCCAACACTCTCGCTGTATTAACTCTTCTTCTTCTTCTTCTTCTTATTCTTCTTCTTTCTATATCTTTCATTCAATGGCATGGATTGCAGGGTATTGAAGCTGGGGCAAGGGAGGTTGAGGTCACCATTAATGGTATTGGGGAAAGGGCTGGAAATGCAGCCCTAGAGGAGGTAAAAGCTGCAATTTTGCTCAAATATGCTTGTTTCTTTTTTATAGAATGCTACCATCCATTTTTCAATATTCAATTGTTTTGAGATAATTTTTTTTTTACATAATTTTGCAGGTCGTCATGGCTATAAAGTGCCGAAAAGAATTAATGGGAGGCCTTTATACTGGGGTTAACACCAAATATCTTATTGCAACAAGCAAGATGGTACATCTTTTATCATAATTATCAGTTTCAATTATGTAATCATAATAGATGCAGGCCATGTAAAGAAAATTTGATATATTGTAGGTTGTAGAGTGCACTGGATTGAATGTTCAACCGCACAAGGCGATTGTTGGAGCTAATGCTTTTTCCCATGAAAGTGGCATTCATCAAGTAAGCACATTAATATAATCATTACTCTATACTATTGGGGAATAACATTATTTGAATATGATGCATTGTAATCTTATATGAACTTAGAATCGAAAATTTTATTTGAAGAAAGGATTGGTAGTGGAATACTTTGAGTGGGAAAGCCTCCTTGAGGTGGCGGTGAGGTTGTTTGGTGAATTATGTAAGGGTTTTGGGTGATAGTGAGGTTTGGGCAAATGGTGGTGAGGTGGTTTTTGTATATAGAATCAAAACATCACAAAAAGTTCCAATTCACACTAAAGAGGATGAGATGTTTGGCCACCAAGCCAAACAAAATTAGAATTGCTTGAAGTAACTTCCAAATTTATTCAAGCCAACAATAATCTTTCAAATTACTTTTCAAAATACATAAATCATCCTCTCCATAATCTCTTTGCAATGATAATTCAAATCATCCAGTTCTCGGTTTCATAATGCCTTGGCTTATAGTGTTACATTTTATGGTGAAATTATTTGAATTTTTGAGGATGTCTTTCTTCAAAATTAAATAATACACTTAATTCATTTTACCTTTATTGATGAAATTATTCTGCGCTCTTTAGGATGGCGTCCTTAAATTTAAAGGCACATATGAATTCATTTCCCGTGAAGATATTGGATTGGATCTGACAAGTGAACCTAGTATTGTTCTAGGAAAGCTCAGGTTTCTCCTCCCTCTTCCCCTAGCCACTCAATTATGTTAATCATGATGCCTCCAAAAAATTTAATAGCTTTAATATTGAATGAAGCTTCTTTATGTTAGGAACACATTTTTTTCAAATTCAAGCTTCATTTAGAATGGTTTTTTTATTGCTTCTTAAAGCAGCTTTTTAGTAAAAAATTAATTTTTTACTAAAAAGCTGCTTTAAGAAGCAGTAAGAAAACCATCCCAAACAAAACATCAAGTGATTCCTTTTTTTTTACGATCTATCTTTTATGTTTTAACGTAGATTGTTTAGAGGAGAAACATCTAAAGATTATTAAAGTACAAAATTCTTGAATTGCTCTCATTTTTTGTTTTGCAATTTACCAAAAGTTATGCTGGCTACTTATTCCATAAAATGATGTAAAGGTCCAAAATATTCGAGCTTTTAAATGTGGAAAACTTTTTATTCATGACAAATATATAACATGCTCAGCTTATTTCCTTGCAGTGGGCGGCATGCTTTAAAATCTAGGCTTTTGAAGGTATTGCTTTATGGAACTTTACTATCTTCGCATATGAAATATTTTACTTTTCCTCTTCTGATGTGTCATCCTCCTGCTTGCCTATCATAGTTAGGTTATGATTTAGATGGAACAGAGCTTGATGACATATTCAAGAAATTTAAATTGTTGACTGCAAAGAAAAAGGTACATTACTGCATGTCATCGGCACTGTTCACTGATGCATTATATTCTATATATACAGTGGCGGAGCCACGGTGGAGGCACTGGGGGCACGAGCCCCCACTGGCTCCATGAAAAAAAAACTGGCACTGTTCACTGATGCATTATATTCTATATATATATATATATATATTTGCAGCTGAGCTTACATCTTGTGCAATCTTAGATTTCGTTTGGGACGACTTTTTTAATGCTTCTTTAAGCAGTTTTCTAGAACAAAATTTTAATTTTTATACTAAAAAGCTGCTTTAAGAAGCATTAAAAAAGCCATCCCAAACGAAATCTTAATGTTTCGGAATTAGCTTTTCATAGCCAAATATTCCATTGGAAAAGCATTCATAGCCTCTTAGTTGCATAAAATATATATTTATGTTGATAATTTTATCCTTAGAAATGCTGTAATGGGCTGGTTATTTTACAGAATATTACTGATGACGATATTGAAGAGCTGGTATGCAGTAAATCTATGCAATCTGAACCAATTTGGTCACTTGGATATCTTCAGGTAAAGATGATTACAGGTGCTATTTCCTATGTCCATCATCAGTTGGCGTTTCTTAAACGGATCTCATTTTACAGGTTATGCATGGAACTATGGGATTCTCAACAGCTGTTGTTAAACTACTTAACGTGGATGGACAAGAGAGAATTGCTTGTTCTATGGGGAGAGGACCAGTTGATGCTGCCTACAAGGCCATTGATAATATTATCCAGGTACACCAAGAATTTGTATGAGAATTTATTTTCAACCGTGATTTTCTTTTACGATAAATTATCATTTTTTTTGTTTTAGTAGAATTTAAGTTTGATGGTTGAATTAGATGAATGCATCAGGCCTGTTCCCCCTCAAATATAAGGAAAAAAAATTATAATATGATGATGAGACTTGCGATATTAGAAGCAGAATGTTGGACATTAAAAGAGAAAGATAAAATTAAGTTTAGTGTCGTAGAGATTAGGATGCTCAGGTGGATGAGAAGCTTTATATTAGAGACATAATGCGAAACAAATATATATGTGAAAGAGTTGGAAGATTAAAGAGAGTTGTCTTAGATGATTTGTTCAAATAAAACTTCAGCCTCCGTTTGCACGTTTCTTCGGTCAAATCGACTGCGATCGGAAGTAACAATGAAAATGGGAGCTTGCTTGTTTCAAAGGTAGCCATCTTTCTTCCGTTCGCACGCTTCTTCTTTGCTTGTTCCGATTATACCCTCTGCCCATCTCACTTTTCCGGTTAAAATTGACGGCATGACCAAAATAGTCCCATTTGGAGAAGTTGAGGAAATAGTTGACTATTTTGATCCCTCACAAAGAGTTGAGAGACTATTTTGATCATTCTCTCTCTCTCTCTCTCTCTATATATATATATATATATCACATTCCACCTCTTAGGCTCCACACTAGCGAGAGAGTTTTGTACACAGCACATTGATGTTTAATGCAGCTTTATATAATTTTCTTGAATTTCATAAGAGCCCTATGCATTTGTATTTTGATGTATGCTACATTTTGTTCTTAATCTATTGTAACAGCCTTCTAGCTATTTCTTATAAAAAAATGCAGACTCCTATGAAGCTCGTTGAATACAAAAACTCTTTTTTGGATGGCATACATGCAATTTCTTTGACCCAAGTAGTCGTAAGCGAAGATAATGGTAACATATCTACACATTGTCCATGCACAAAAGCCAACGGTTACAGTAATGGTCATGCTCCATCTGAGGGAGCCATTGGTCACAGTAATGGTAATGATTCATCAAAGAAAGCCAATGGTCATGCAATGAGGTTTGTTGATTCATTTCGTACCTTCTTTCCCAATTTTTCTCGTGAATTCATTGTGTACTTCATTCATCTTCCACTTATTTTGCTTTAAATTGCAGGATTTGAATATGTTTAAGTTTTGTTATTTAATTAATATTATCATTATTCTTATTATTATTACTGCTACTATTTGGAACATATAGGGGTGTCAATATTTGACTGGACCCAAAAATTTCGGATAAGGGTCAACCCGAACCCGAAACGGGTCGGGTTCGGATTCAACAATTTGACTAGTTTTAAAAATCGGGTCGGGTTCGGGTTGGCTCTTTGACTTGAAAAACGGAGATTGACTCATTTTTTGATCCGAAAACTAGCAGTTTTTTGTTGGCACTGGGTCATTTGATTGTGTCGGGTTGACCCGGACCTGAAGCGGGTCAGGTTCGGGTCAGAAAAATCAACCCGTTTGCAAAAAATGGGTCTGGTTCGGGTTGACCCGAATAGTGTCGGATCAATTTCGGATTCGACCCGAACCTAACCCGGGACCCGAAATTGAAACCCCTAGGAACATAGCTATATTAATCAATATGCATGCTAATGACCATTTTCAATGAATTAGATTATTCTCTTTTCAGCTTTAGTGGAAGTGGAGAAAGCACAGACCTTGTTGTTTCTAGCGTCGAAGCCTACTTGAGGGCGGTGAACAGGATGGTGGCTAAGAAAGAATCCAGCTAGATGTATGGAATTCCACTATCGGAGGTATACTATGCCAAATTTTGTTCAGTTCTAAAATGAACACTTTGAAGCTATTTCTTGTTATATTAAGAAGATTATATTAAGCTTAAGTTGGTTGTTGTTTTACTCTACTTTTTGTTATTTGCATCTTAAATTGTAACGTTCACTGCTCATCCATTGAGGAATCATATAGATTAGGTTGAATTGCTTTGTAAGCGCCACCCTTTTTACGATTTTCATTCTTAGAGAGTACTATTGTTAACATCCCATGTGAATATGTCAAAATGGTAACAACATGAATTGCAATTGAATTTCTCAACTTACATGAATTAATAAGTGTCTTTTTATGATTGTATGTTGGAAAATTCACTACAGTAGATATAATTTAACATCATATGGCTGTATGAAGGTCCGACATAAGTGCATTACGTTGAGAGCAACATATAGGAGACAATATTTTCTTATGCTAGGAAGGGTAAAAGCCAACCAAGTTGAAATGAATTTATTAACATTAGTTAAAGATTACAAATGACACTTTCTCATAATCACATAAGATATTCGCGGGCTTTGAAAATTTGAGCTTTTGGGCTCCGACTTCTCTATGTTATATTCGGGCATAGTTTTAACGGATTAAGTTTCGTAGAAAATTTTTAGAAGGTAGATTAGATATAGATAAGAAACTACCCAGAGGTTTCTCCCTCTTAGTGAGGACTTTTAAGATATGAGTTCTAGTTTCTTAAAGGCTCTATCCAACTAAATTTTAACTATTTCAAGTTATATAAAGCTATTAAATTAATAATGAATTAAAATATATTATAAAATTATTAATTAATGAAATTATGAATTTATAATATTTTTCATAAATTATTAAAATCCGTCGGAAACAAATCCGCCAGAAATTTGCCGGAAAATCTTTCTGAAAATCTGCCGAAAATATTTCATCCTTATCAGTTGGAAAAGAGTCCGCCAGAAATTTCGCCGGTGATGGGTGATTATTCTTTAGTGGTTACATGTATAAAACAATAAGCAGTGCACAACAGTCTACATGTATACAACGGGTAAATGATCATAGTACGACGCCACGCCACCGGATCCGCAACATGTATACAAGCTAATAGAAGGCGTTTATGTGATTCTATATAGAGCGTTGCACACATTTAACTAACAGTTGTCCACACAATTGAGCAACATCAAAATATTTCAAAAATGTCCCCCCACATGCAGTACAATTTGTATACACAAACACCAAGAAAAGCACGTACAATCATACACCCGTATGGACCACGACGAGTGTGTTACACATGACATCTAGGGATGCTGCACGGGTCAAACAATAAACCCAAGTTCAAGTCTGGTCCTTCTATGCGGGTAGATAAGAGTTGACACGATTCGAACCATCAAATAAATATACGGTCGAGATATCGACTGTGATATTTTTTAATACATTCATATTAAACATTTAAGGTCCATAAAGAAGAGTTCATTAACAAAAGAATACAATCAACAATAAACTCGATCCTCTGTCGGCAAACTAACATAGTCGTCAAGATTCAGTCCAAAAATGTAATTGCCAATAAACACTCCGATGATTACCGCGTTAAATATAAATATTAATCGGAGGAATTAATTCCAAATATCCAAATATCATCCTAAAACCCAAAATTCCAAAAATTCCAAATTCAAAATATTTAAAATGAAAATTCAATCATCAACCGCTTAAAGTAAAAATTCATCCACCATCCACAATAGTTTGTCGAGGCGAAAAAATTTAGGATTCATTTTCAAACAATCTATTGTCATTAAGAACGTGGCATGTATCCTCTAACCGACAGTTTTGTCGCTAAATGACACCGCGTATAAACGGCTATGACCGGGGCCCTCTGAACCGGGTGGTTTGCCGCCAAATGGCACCATCAAATTAATGTTATGGCCAAAGCCCGTATGCTCCTCAATGGTATTAAATCTTTGAGATACGAAACAGTATGATATAATCGATAGGGCACAAAATCCTCTGTTAGCTAAGGTGTATTCAAATTTGTACCCTTAGACAAACCCTCACCCAAGTCTTCCAGATACCCTTGGACGAAGCAGCCCATGGCTGCCAACAAGGATCCTTATGTCAGGTTGGGTCGACTACCTCCTCTGACTAAGTAAACCAGGGACCACGATGGTCCGGGATGATGGAACCATGAGATTTTGATTGAGTCCATCATACATTCCCCCACCATCTGCTTTAACTGCAAGATGGTGAAATTTCTATTTTAAATATTCAATCTCACATTCCTAAGCCCATGTTGCTATATGCCGGATAACATGTACTTCTTCATATATGATTGACGACTAGCCTTAATCAAAAGTTCTCTCTCGTTATTGGGAGGGGTAATTAACTATAAGGGCTTCTGCCTATAGGAAACCATAACTCAGATCATAAAGTCATCGTAAAATGAAGGCGAAATCTCTGGATAGTGTCTTATCTATAAACCCAATATGACTTGCCAAAACTTTCCCCAGAACTTAATATCTTAAAACTCCCCCGAAAATCAATGGCGAGGCCGGGGCACGAATTTTCCGAGCCCACATAAATATATAGTTGGAGAAACACCTATCTAGGATATACATAAATATAGATGGTAAATTTTAATTTTAGAATATAGAATTAACTACATAACATAAATATAAAGGTGTTGGTTGCCGATTCAATATTATTTTAACAAGAGCATATATGAGCCTCAGAGAGGTGCTGGGAAGGGACCAAGTATAAAGAGTTAAGTGTCAAGAGAACTATCAAGAGATAGCTCGGGAGAGGTTCCCAAGAAAACACATGAGAGGCCTTCTAGAGAAATCTCCAAAGAGGACACTCAAGAAGATTCCTCGATAAAACAATCACGTTAATCAGTGATTAAGTTTATTATAGTTTGCGATCAAATTTTCAATTATAAACTTGATTTTTTTTATTAAAGCCACTTGATATTATTAGTAGAATTTAAATTGGATGGATGAAGTGAAAGAATGCATCAGGCTTGTTGTGTGATAGAAAGGTACCACTCAAACTTAAGAAAAAAATATGTAAGATGGGGGTGAGATCTACCGTGCTTTATGGCGCAGAATATTGGCCATTAAAAGAAAAGCATAATATTAAGTTAAGTGTTGCAGAGATGAGGATGCTCAGGTGGATGAGTGTCTTTATTCTTAGAGACAGGATATGAAATGAACATATACATGAAAAGGTTGGAGTAGCTCCAGTGGCGGATAAGAGCATTGAGAGTTGTCTTAGATGATTTTGTCACATAAAACGGCGGCCTTCCGATAGCCCGGTCAGGAGAGTGGATGTATTAGATTTAACTTATGGTAAGAAAGGCAGAGGTAGATCTAAAACAGCTTGGTTAGAAAATATTAGAAATGACATTTCTTTATAAAATATAAATAAGAATTTAACTCTTAATCGGATACAATGAGGAAAAAGGATTCATGTAGCCAACCCCACGTGACAGGATAAAGGCTCAATGTTGTTGTTGTCATTGTGGATTTGATCTCGAAGTTCTTGGAAACTAAACTACTTGTTGACAATATTTTAAATTTGGTTTTATCTCGTGAAGCAAAATTAGTAACTTGAAAGCTTTGTTTCTCTAAATATGATTTTTTTTTTTAAGTGAAAATGTGGTACTATTAATGTAATATAATCTTGAGACGATTTGATTTGAGAATTCATGATAGACTTTATAATCATTAGATTTGATTTAAGATAATTGTAATATAAATTTTGATTTATTAGTTATAAATTATATTTTTGTTAAAATAAATATAATGATATTATTGTAATATTAATCATATATTTTATTGTTGATCAGACAGTATTAGCAGATTTGTAACTAGCCATGAAATTATTTTTTATTTTTGTTGAAATTAAAATTTTTATTATATTTTACAACTGAATTTAAAAAAAAAAAAAAAAAAGCGAGACCTAGAAGAAAATATAAGAAAATTTTAAGCCATAATGTAGAAGAAAAATGTAAAAACAAACAATCAAATAAACTGAGCACTCTACTCAGATGTTGCAAAGTAAGCTATCGTTTTTAAAGAAAAAATATTTCTTAAGAAAATAATTATTATTATGATATATAATCAAAAAATTATGTTGATCGGGCACAAATTTTGAGGCAAAATCAAGTTGAAAATTTCCAAAAATAAGATTGAGACCTTCAGAACTCCGATTTCAACAAACTTAAAGTCAAACAGAATGTCTCGAAAATACGAACCCAACGACATCAAATTCGACTCAATCTAAGCCCAAATGTGTCCAAATTAAGAACCCAAAGCGTTGTTGGAAGCTTCAAAGCACAATTTGGATTACCAAACGAATTCCAAGCGTGACATTCTTATAGTCGAATCAAGCGGCTCGACGAGACAAATCCAACGAGCCCAAGATCATTGAATTCTGATGTCAGTAAGACGTCCAAATGTCTAGCAAACGGTCCATGATCAAGGGAATCAACATCTGTTGTTCATACAAATCACTCCTAAAATACCCTTGATCTTCCTCCTATTTACGAGTCATGCCACCAAAAAAATCTAAAAATAGAGCCATCCTTTCTCATGAAAAGAGACCCCAAAAGGAAGAGAGCAAGAGAGAGATAGGAGATCGCTTTTGCCCCTAGTTGCTCCTCAACTACCGCCCAAAGTTCTACCAGACCACCGCCCGATGCCAAAGTTATGCTGGACCACCGCCTGTCGTCAGAATTCTCTCGGACCACTGCTAGACGTCGAAGTTCCGGAGTTCTCCCGGACCACCACAAGACGCAGGAGTTTCGTCGGACCACCGCCCGACGCTAGAGTTTTGTCGGACCAACACCGACGCTGGAGTTCTGCCAGACCACCACCAAATGCCGGAGTTCCACCGGACCACCGCCTGATGCCCGAGTTCTGTCGGACCACCACCTGATGCTGGGACTTTTGCAAGACCACTATCCGACGCCAGAGTTTCGTGGGACCACCACCTGACGCTGGACTTCTACCGGACCACTGACTAACACTGGAGTTCTGCCGACTTCCATCGAATGACCGACTAACGCCGTTGTTATGCCAAACCACTGCCAGACTACCAACGGATGCCCGAACTTTCAAGTGACGCCGGACTTCCGTAGGTTCACAAATTACATACGTCAGACTTTCTTTGGACCACCACCTAACGCCGGAGTTCTGTCGGATCACTACTTAATGTCGGAGTTACGTTGAACCACCGATTGACGCCCGGACTTCTCCCGAACCAGTAACTGACACTAGAGTTTTGTCGAACTTCCACCGAACCACCAACTGATGCCGTAGTTCTGTAAAACCACTGCCATACTACAAATAGATGCCCGAACTTCCAAGTGACGCCATCATCTAACCCCTGTTTGCCACTAAACTTCAACCATACGATTGACATTTATAATCTGATAGCTCTCAAAGTCGAGTTAGCCCACCATACTCTGCTCAAATTCTAGTGAAATCACTTTCAACTGGGGTAGACCCTGTAGTTTTTTTCCTTTTCCAGGATATTCCAGGTAAAAAATCTTGTGTTATCTGTGTTTGAGCTGGTTATCCGTACAACGCTATCGTCACGTATATTCTAGCCCGCAACATATCTTAACACATGTTTTTTAGTATTTAAAAATAAGATTTTATTTTATTTTTTTTATTTAATGGTAGAGGCATTTTTTAAATATAAGATATGCAAATGTATAAAATGTTTTGAAGAGGCAAATAAAATATTTAAGGTGATACCGTGATATCACTATTTTTTTTTTTGGGAAATTATATCACTATTTTTCTTTTCAGAAAATTTGGTGATGGGAACAAGAGAGGACCTTGCACGAATTTCCAAAAATCAATAGATATGTGAACAGTGGATCCTATAACTGGAGGCCAAGCAGGTTAGGCGAAGCCTTGATGTTGGCTGATCTGTCAAGCTCCAGCGACGCCATGTGGATTGCGATAATCGACAGCGGCTGAACTCCGGTGATCCCAGCCGGATCTCCCACGTCCGAGGCGTTCCCAGCGAAGGCCACCACCACCCCTACCGCCGCCGTCAGTACGATCGCGAGGAGGTGAAGAAGCTGCCTTGCCGGATCCTTCATCTTCAGCCTTTTCTGCCTTAATGAAATCTGAGAAGGCTATCTATTTATTACTATTGAGAGAAATTAAGAATTATTATATTCGGTCGCTGAAGAATTTGATTTTGAAGATATTAATTAGTTGTTTCATTTGTTACTAATTTTATTTTAAAATACGAGAGGATATTCTTTGGAATATATTTTTTTAGTAATTATATTTATTTTTAGACAAATAAAATATAATAGTTAATTAATTAGTTATTTAATATAATGATTTAAATAAATAAATTATTATAAAAATTTAATCGGAATATGTAATAGCAAATCAGTAGATCCTGGTACGAGATCTATTGATTTTTGGAAATTCGTGCAAGATCCTCTTGTTTCCCAATCATCCAATTTTCACAATGTTAATAAAATTGCTTTTATCTAATAATGCATAAATTTTAAATATTTCAAATAATTATACATAGTTCTTTAATTTAAATAATTTATTTTAATTTAATTATTAAATAATTTATATAGAAGGAAATTATAACTATTATATAAATTAAAATTTATCGAAGCAACTTTGATTCATTATATATTTGAATCCGCTATAATCTAAGCTTTAATTTGCTTCTGCTATGCATTCAAGCGAGAAAAGTGCTCAGGCCTGCTTATAAAAAGCAAATTATTAGATCCCGTCACCAGACCTATTTCTAGATCCGGACATCCAATAAAATTTGCCACGTGGATTGTGCTTTGACTCAAAAAAGCGCTGTCAAAAGCACATGTAAAGCGCGCCTACAGCACAGTCAAAGCGCAGTCCACATGGCAAGTTTTTGTTGGATGTCCGGACCTATTTCTAGGTCAGGTGACTGGACCTAATAATTTGCCCACGAATAATAATATTAACCCAAACTACCCGAAATATGACCGAGGTAACGTCAGAGCTTGTTTGATGAGAGGAAATATAGTTCAGGAAAAATATCGATTTATTTCATAATGGATCTCACAAATAAAAATAAGTAATATGTCAATTGTTTTGAAAACACTAAGATTTTGTTTGGGAAAACTTTCATACTGCTTTCTAAAACAACTTGCTTGTACAAAAAATTTAAATTCAAGAAATTTTTGTACTTAAAAACTGTTTTAAAAAGCAAGAGGAAAACCATCCCAAACAAAGCCTAAGTGAAAAGCTCCCAATCATGAAGGCAATAACTGATATCATAATTACTAGATAGCACAGATATACATGCAAAATATTCCACTTCAAGCACAAATAACCTAAAAGAGGAATTAGTTCTCAAACAAACCCTCATCTGACAATCTGGGGGATTCAGTACCATTAACAAGTGGCTTATCATCGGCCGAAGAGTTGCTTGAATTGCTAAATATGCTATAATCAAAATCTAGATCATCTTCATCATCATCACCCTCTTCTACATCCTTTGTCTCTTTGGGCATATTCTTCATTTGAGCTTCTCGACGCATTCTTTGTTTGATGGTTTCTTCATAGGACATCTCATACCAAACAGTGCCGTTTCCAACAATTGATCTGTTGTGGTCTTCAGTTATTCTTTGTTGACGGCTCTTCTCAGAGTGCTTGGGCTCCCCCCAATAGTCATAGCGATATAAAGGATTGGTGGGATCATATTTGTTCTTCCAAAATGCAGAATTTACATCGTATCTTCCAGGCTCCTCCAGTGGCAGACCAAGAGCCTTTCGGCTGTCAATGCAAGTAGACCATTTCGAATGAAGCAAAGCCTTTCATTTACACGATGCATTGCACAGCAAAAGCAAAGCCGAATCATACATCAAGAGATGGAGGGATTATTTTGCGCCGGGAGAACCGTCCGGTTCCGCGCTCGGTACCAAGCAGTATTGAGCGCGGTACATTTTTTAGGCGACGTGGCGTATTTTTATTGGTCTCTGGATAAATCCGAACCCGCACGTAATAATTTTTCCGAGAGATGGGTGTGATGGAGGCTCAGGGCGAGGCAGGGTGAGATGGTTGAAGGATAAGTAAACGACATGAATTGGACTGCATAGCCTGAGACAGAGTTAATGGAAACACCAGTGATGCCATTGAGGCAGGGTAGATGAATGCGAGGGAGCAGGCGGTGGCAAAGGGGAGGAGTGGGAGAGGGGACCACCAGCAGGAGGGACTGGGAGGGGGGAGGAGGTGAGAAGGGAGGGTAAGGAAGATAGCATGTGGCTGATGTTATTGGGATAGGAGGTCAATTTATTTAGTTTGACTAGTTCATCAACTACTACTGTGTAGCATACTAAAGATTCAAAGTATAAGTAAAATGAAACTTCGCAAGTGCTCCCTGAAAGAAAGATATCTCATAAGGAAAAGCAATAACGAGCTAACAGATCTGTTTAATATGTTTAAGTCTTTGTACAAGTTAAAGTTTAACACAAACATTTAGATCTAAAATGGTTAGAGTGAATGTTATCCGAAGAAAGGAGCCTAAAGAACTTGCAATAAGAGCGGGTTGTTCAGAACCATCGTTTACTGCAAGTTCAAGTCCTTGTACAAGTTAGCGTTTAACACAAGCATTTATATCTAAAATGGTTAGAGTGAAAGATATCCGAAGAAAGGAGACTAAAGAGCTAATACAATAAGAGCAGGTTTTTAAAAACCTTGATTTATCATGGACCAATTGATTTGATTGTGAGGAAATTAAGAAGTTTTCTAATCAAGAGGGAGTTGTTTAGGAAGGTTCTTAATCAAAGGGAATTAATTAGTAGATGTTTCCTAATTGAAGATAGCATAATTGGGGGCTGATTTAGAGAGAATTAATTAGGAAATATTTCCTAATTGAAGAGGGCAGATTTGGGGGCTAATTTGAAAGGGATTAATTATGAAATATTACCTAATTGAATAGGGAAGATTTGGGGGCTGATTTAGAGGGGATTAATTAGGAAATGTTTCCTAATTGAAGATGACATATTTAGGGGCTGATTTGGGAGGGAAATAAATAAGGAAATATGAAGAGTTGGGGGAGGGTTGTTTAGGTATTTACTATTTATTGTTTGTTATAAATGGGTGATTTTACTAGGATTAGGGATAGGTGTTATTTGCTGAAATTAGATTGTTCTTAGGGTGTTTGGGCTCTAGCCGGCGACTAGATATTTGAGAGAGTCGGATCTTCCTCTTGTATCTTGTATTTTCTTTCATAAAACTTTTTAATAAAAAGGTGTTCATATGTTTTATTCCTGATTTTCTTATCGTCGATTTTTCTGAAATTGCTGAAATTAAATTTCAGCCAAGTCTTTCCTAAATTTCTGCAAGCACTTCTAATCAAATTGGTATCAGAATTGTTCGATCCAGGCACCCATGGCTGGAAGAAAAGTAAAGTATCAAAAGGTGATTTCGGGCAAGTGAAATCAGATAGTGGAGAAAAGATTTCAGATTTCAAAAAACTATATTCAATAATCTATGAGAAGATTGATGAGAAGTTTGCCATCATGGAGGAGATGATAAGAAAGATGCTCGAGTTCCAAACCAAAACGCATCGCCAGCGGCAAGGGGAGCCACCAGTGACAAAGGGAGTGAAGGAACCCTAATCTGATAAGGAGATGGAAAGATCGAGAGATGAAAATGTTGGGGGAAGAAGAGGGGATGCCACTTTTGAAGCCACTTCCAAGGAGAGGAAAGGGTGAAGGAGTGGGACTTTTAGTGGATCTGCAGAATTCGAAAGGAGAAAAAGACTGGGAAAATATAGAAGCACCAAACATGATTCTACCATCCCTACAACAGTTTCGAGGGGTGTTCTAGCAAGTTCAAGGGTTGAATCTTTCACGGGAACGCAAATATGTAATCATCTTGAAGGAATGAATCCCACCTATCAGTGTTCGTTTATACCGTCATCCCAAATTCAAAACAAAGAGATTGAGATATTAATCGAGGAGATGCTCGAGGAAGGGATGGTTTGACTTAGTGTTATTTCATTTTTTAGTCCAGTGGTATTAGTCAAGTGCTTTAATAGCAGTTTCGTTTGTTCCACCTTGAGGACAATGTGGCATTTGGGAGGGGAGTATTAATGGACCAACTAGTTTGATTGTGAGGGAATAAAAAAGTTTCATAATCAAGAGGGAGCTGCTTAGGAAGGTTCTTAATCAAAGTGAATTAATTAGGAGATATTTCCTAATTGAAGATAGCATATTTGGGGGGCTGATTTCGGAGCCGATTTAGAGGGAATTAATTAGGAAATGTTTTCTAATTGAAGAGTGCAGATTTGGGGGCTGATTAATTGGGAAATGTTTCTTAATTGAATAGGGTAGATTTGGGGGCTGATTTGGAGGGAATTAATTATGAAATATTTCCTAATTGAAGATGACAGATTTAGGGACTGAGTTGGGTGGGAAATAATTAAAAAAATAGGATGGAATTGGGGGAGGGCTGTTTGGGTATTTACTGTTTATTGTTTGCTATAAGTAGGTGATTTTCCTAAGGTTAGGGAAAGGTGTTGTTTGCTGAAATTAGATTGTTCTTAGGGTGTTTAGGCTCTAGCCGACGGCTATAGAGATTTGGTAGAGCTGGATCTTCCTCTCCAATTGAAGATCCATTTGTAACTTGTCTTTTCTTTCATAAAACTTTTAATAAAAAAGTGTTCGTGTGTTTTATTCCTGATTTTTTTTATCGTTGATTTTTCTGAAATTGATGAAATTAGATTTCAGCCAAGACTTTTCCTAAATTTTTGCAAGCACTTCCTATATCAATTTACTGCAAGTTCTCATGGGATTTGGGTAAGGAAAAACTCATGGAGAATTGGAGATAAATATAGACAAGGATGTGGCTATTTAAAAAAGCATTTGTGGTTTATGTTATTGACTTCAAGCATCAATCATACTCGCTAACTCAAACCGAACCTTTTTACTTATAAGGCATAAATCTGAGAACATGTGTTAAAGAACATTGAAAGGATAATCGCCTATGGGATAAGCATGAAAATTTCCATCCAGATATAAACTGAGAATAAGAAAATTTTTACAAACAGATATAGCAATATTCTTAGCTAAACCAATGTGTAAAATCAGTGCAGATATTTATGTTAAAATATCAGAAGGGATAATGAAGACTTACCAACTAATATCTCTAACCAAAGCCTCTCTCTCTTCCAACGATCGACGCCAATGCATGAGATCATACTCATCCATTTCTCTATTCCGTTTCAGCTTGCTAACTTGAAATACTTCTCCTCTCTCTTCAGCTTCCTTTCTTAACTTTTTGTTAAGCTGCATAATAAGGAAACAATTTGTAAGAGTGATGAAAATCACTTGGTAAAAATAAAGAATGCACACGTCATATGATGCCTACTTTATTTGCAGCAAAAGTTTGTCCAACATAATGGAATTTAAAATGGATGATTGACTCCTAAGAGCTTCGACAATGATGCTTGATGCTGTCGCCCTTGTTGATCAACAATCTCCTAGTTAATCGAGTGGAATGGAAAAGAGAGATGGAAGCAGGGCTTTTTAGGAGAAAAATGTAATTTTTTTTCATGAGGAAGAAACAAAAAAAAAAGGCAATAAAGCCACCATGATATTATTTTTATGAGGAATAACATGTTCTATGTTACCTGGAATGGAAAATATAATTGTGAGTACATGGGCATTAACCCTTATTGTTAAACCGCATGGGGGTTATACCACATTATCAAAAAGTAGTAGGGTAAAATGTAACTACCCCTTTTAAGTAAAATGTAACTACCCCTTTTAAGTTCTTGAACATTGGCCTTTTGATTCTTATATGATTAACTCGTATGGCGTAAATGTAGTTACAATGGCCCAAGTAACAAAGATGTTTATTAAAATACAATCTAGATATTCATTTGAAGCAACATCCAACCAACACACAAGATTGAAATAAAACTTTTTTTTTTTTATTAAAATAGAACTTCACTGCATGTCTCATATTTTCTAATTTCATAATCTTGAAGTCCTCTAAATGTCGACAAACATTTGAACTTTATGGAACAAATCGCACAACAAACACGACTATGGCCGCTAAATTCAATTCAAGATCAATATCATGGGTAGCACAATAGAATATCCACAAGATTAATGATAAATATTGGTAAGATATGCAAAGAATAACAATATAAAATGACAATGCCACTTTCAGGAAAAATAGAGATAAGTAGTAGATTACCATAAGAAGTACAGACTTGCTACAAGAACTAATGTAGGTCCCTCGAATATTGACAATCATTGTGAGCAAAACAAAACAAAAAAACGATGACTAAACCAACAGTACATCCAAACCTATGAATCAATGTTTGAAACTAAGAAAGTACAAACGATTGTATCAAACCCACTGAACCAAATTGGACTAGAAGACTATAATAATAAAGAATGTGCCATATTCCATAATCCCTATCATCATAGGAATGTTAAAATAATTAAACAAAAGTAAAAAAACAACTTCAAAATAAAATAATAAAGCATGCAATCCTCGAAGTATCAAACTATTAAATTGCTTGTCTCAGTACCCTAGATTTGAATTTGCAATGAGTATAAACCATTATATATCCATTAAATTTGCTTTGGTTGGGAAATTTTGGTTATGATGAATTTAGAATTTGATATTAATTAAGTAGGTCAAAATATAAATATCGTGCCTCCTACAATGTGTCCAGACCAGACACGGAGACCCGAATTAAAGAGGCGGTAAAAGACGGTTAGACGGCTGATTAAATTTCAATTACTAACTAACTATTTCCAATACATCAAAAGAGCCTCTAAAACCTCAAAATTTGAAACAAAGTTAAATATTAAAATACCTTTCTTCTGGTGCACCTACGATATACATTATCTTCTTTATACTCATTTTAGTTAATTGAATTATAAATGTAAATATTTTTCAATAAGAAGAGCGAGTCAGAATAGAACTCAGTGAGTAAATCATGCATCTAAATTACAGTAATGCAAGGCTTTGAAACAATATGCATGCTCATTTCCAAACATAAATTAATTCGTTTGCTCATTTCCAATGTAAATATCATGCCTCCTACAATGTGTCCCAACCCTACCAATCCAGTATACAAATGACCCCAAGCACAGAGCAGTAGGCACCATTCGAAGGGAAATATAATTGGACAAGAATTAATTTAGAAAAAAAATAATTGAAATATATAACTTCAGGATTCAAGTCAAGTACATGAAAAGAAGGCACAAGAAAGGTGTCAAACCCCAATTTAAACTCTACTGCTCTGTGCTTGGGGTCATAATACTTTTGTTGGCGATCCTGAGTAGCTTTTAATCTATCCATGATTACTCTGATTTTCTCTGTTGCTTCATCAACTAGCTCTGGACCCATTAGTTGTCTTTCTCCTACCTCCACCCAAGTAAAGGGAGTAATACACTTTTTACCATAAAGTGCTTCATATGGTGCCATTTGTATACTTGATTGATAGCTATTGTTGTAGGAAAATTCTATTAATGATATGTGATCTTCCCAGCTACCCTTGAAATCCAAAACATATAATATCAATAAGTCTTCAAGTACTTGAATAGTTCTTTCAGATTTACTGTCAGTCTGTGGATAAAAGCTGTACTGAAATGCAAATTTATACCCAAGCTTTCATGAATGCTCTTCCACAGCCTAGAAGTAAATCTAGCATCTCTATATGAGACAATAACCTTTGAAATACCATGCAATATGACAATTTCTTTCATATATAGCCGTTCCAATTTGTCTACTGGATCAGTTTGATTAATAGGCAAAAAATGAGCTGATTTTTTTAGTCTATCAATAATCAACCAAACAATGTCATGGCCTTGTCTAGATCGGGGAAACCCAATAACAAAATCAATTGCAATTTCTTCCCACTTTCACTAAGGGATAGAAAGTGATTGCAGTAATCCACTAGGTCGTTGATGTTCAGCTTTCACAATTTGACATTCTTCACACTTAGCTACATATTCAACAACGTCTTTCTTCATACATGGTCACCATAATATTACTTTCAAGCCTTTATACATCACGGTACTACCTGAATGAATTGTATAACCAGAATGATGAGCTTCTTTCAAAATTTTCTTTCTTAGATCCAGATCATTAGGTATCCACAACTGGAATTTATGTCTAATGATTCCATCAACATCAACAGAAATAACGGGTCTTTTCCCTGACTGGGCCTGCTCCATAAATTTTGAAGATTCACTACTAGGCTTTTGAGCTTCTTTGATACAATCAGTTAAAATAGGCTTTACTGTCATCTGATGCAAATATTCCGCATTTTTTAAATCTCTAATCTCTATTGCAGATTTTCAATTTCCTTGATCAATTGAACCTCTTGAGTAATCATCCAGTTCATTATTCCTGTAGACTTGTGACTCGAAGCATCGACCACAATATTGGCTTTTCCTGGACAATACTGAATATCCAAATCATAATCTTTGATAAGTTCCAACCATCTTCTTTGTCGTAAGTTTTGTTCTTTTTGTGAAAATATGTATTTTAGGCTCTGATGATCAGTGAAAATTTCGCATCTTATCTCATACAAGTAATGCCTCTACCTAATCTCTTACCTTAGTTTGTTGAATTCTTTTCTTCTACAGCAGCCTATAGCAGCAACACTAGCATTTTTCCTTCCCAATTCTTCACCGCCAATTTAGTTGCAAGAGTCTCTATCGGGTAGAGATTATGGAATAAGAGGAAAGGGCTTGAAACAAAAGTTTAATATAATTATTTGATACCTGCTACCCTATTCTCCACTATCAATTTAATATAAATATCCTAAATCCACTAACGCCATCTAGCTATTCCCAGCCATAGGATCTAATCAAGCCATTGCATGCTTGGCTAAATGCTACTACATAGGGGTGTCAATATTTGACACGACCCGAAAACCCGACTCGAACCCGACACGAAAATTTCAGGTTCGGGTCAACCCAAATCCGAAACAGGTCGAATTCGGGTCATATTTTCGACCCGTTTTGAATTCCGAGTCGGGTTCGGGTTGACCCGGAAACCCAACAATGACCCATTTCTGACCCGTTTTACTGTAGTCCCGCATATTAACGGGATTTGGCCATGCTTCAGTCTTCACAGGCCACAACGAGCGAACTTGGTGGAGTGAAGTGAAGACGAACAGCAACGACGTCCGTGCCTCCATGGAGTGAAGTCGAATAGCAACGTTGTCGAACTCCTGTCGTTGCTTTCGATCTAACTTCCGATTCCGACTGTGAGCTTCCCTCGTTGCTCCGTTCTAACTTTTGATTCTTACTGGAAGAGTGGAAGGGAAGTAGGGAACGTCGTCGAACTCCCGTCGTTGCTTCCAATTCCAACTGTGAGCTCCCCTCGTTGCTATGTTCTAACTTCTGATTCTGATCGGAAGAGTGGAAGGGAAGTAGGGAACGCCGTCGAACTCCGTGGAGCAAAGTCGAACAGCAATGAAGCAGCGGCGACTCCTTCACAGTGAGCGACTATGAGCTCCCCTCGTTGCTTCCAATCAAATTGTTATAACTTCCAATCCGACCGAAAGGAGCGTAGAAGCGAATAGGCGGAAGAGTGAAGTCGAACATCAACTTGGCGGGTCGGGTTCAGGTTGACACGAACCCGAAGCGGGTCGGGTCCGGATCCAGGAAACTGACCCGTTTGAAAAACAGGTCGGGTCAAACAGTACCGGGTCAGTTCCAAAATGCTCGAAATTAAAAGTATAATTTAATGAAATAAATGAACATTTAAAAGAAGTATATAATTATATTTATTTTAAAAATTTTGGGTATTACAAAAGGTAAGTGTAAACAACAGATAAACATGAGCAACTGTGAACAGTCACTAAAGTAAAGGCAGGCATAATGTAATTTGAGACAAGAACGAATGTGATCATCATATGATTTTGAATTGAACCTACACATGCTTGTGATTGGGGCATAATATACAATTCTACTACAAGTAGAATGCTCGGATTAAATGCATTGGTATTGGCAAAATTTGGATGTGCATATACATCTTAAATCATTGTCACGCTATTGGTTACAATTGAATCTACACATGTTTTGAAATAAGAGTATATGAATTGAATTCACTCACTAGCATGAAATGAAATACTGGAAAAATACTCAGAGAATACTCACAAAGTACTAAAAAATACTCATAAAGTACTCACAAAGTACTTAGAAATTACTCATAAGTACTCACAAAATACGCCAAAAAACACAACAAATATGCAGTAACATAGGTATTACATACGCAGCAAATAAGCAGTAAAATGCGCAGCAAAATATGCAGTAAATACGCAGCAAAATACACAATAAATACGCAGCAAATATGCACTAAAAATACACAATAAATACACAGCAAATACACAGTAAATATGCATCAAATACACAATAAATACGCAATAAAATACACAGTAAATACACAAAAAATAAATAGCAATTACATAGTAACTATGCAATCAATTTGGGAGGTTCTCGTCGTCCCGACCTCAAGTGTAATGATTTCTCTTAAGCACCAAAGTGTTTAGAATGGTGCAGAAACCTAAGATAGAGAGTTATAAAAGCATATGTGGAAGGAAAATATAAGATTAGATGAAGGTAGACGGATACCTGCGAACGAAAACTTGCGGTCGACCAGATGAAAGGCTTCAAAATAGTGGCAGGATCCACGGCCGAACTCACAATGGCGAATGGGAGGCTCTTTGAGAGGAACTGAGAGAGTAAGAGTTGCTCTGTTTAGCCTCTTTTTGTTCGCATGAGAGAGAGATCAAGAAATAGAGGGAGCTCGAACGAGAGAGCAAGGGCAAGGGTGTGCGAATACTTGGAGCCATCCGAATAGGAAGAGTCGAGAGAGAGGAAGCTGGAGTGCGAATCCTTTGAATACCCCAGACGGAGGTTTCTTCTTCTATGTAAGAGATATCGCGAGTCTCGTTTTTGTTCTGCTTGATACCATCCCGTCGCCGTGATATCTTCTGCTGCGCGGTATTTTGGTTGAAACGAGGATCTCGTTTGATCGCAGCCGTCAATGCAAATTTCTTGATATGGAAGTTAAGTTGAAATGCTCATGTAGTTAAATGAATTTTAATAGAATTAAATTGGGCTAAGTTAGGTTAGACTCAAGTCCAAATTTGATTCAATTTAAATTGATTTGGGTTCTACCTAGCTTAATTAATTTAATTATATAAAATTGAACTTAAAAATCGATATCAATTGGAGTCAAATTAGGCCCAATGAGGCTTAATTAAATTAATCCAACATGCTCGAGGAAAATACGAGCGAAACGAGGTCAACAAATATCCCCATCTATTTCACCATCACTATGAACAATATATCCAATATATCTAAAACATGTACTCTTACTAGGTCTATTACTACTAAAATTATACTCCATATAGTCAGTTTTAGATCTACTCAAGCGAAAAACTGTAGAGTCTAAGGTTGACCTCCATAATTCAAATCTACCTTCAACGCCCTCTCTAGTCTTATCAACAAGAAGAATATCATCAACAAAAAGCATACATCAAGGTCCATCCTCTTGCAAATATCTAAGAACATCCATGACAAAAGCAAAAATATATGGGCTTAAGGCTGATCATTGATGTAATCCAACCGAAATAGAAAAATACTTAGATCAAACCTCCTTGTGTTTGAACACAAGTAATAGCTCATGCATACATATCTTTAATGATTTGAAAATAAGCGTCATTAACTTCTTTCTTTTCAAGAACTTTCCATAACACTTCTCTTGGAACTTTATCATATGCTTTCTCTAAAACAATAAAAATATCATATGTAGATCCTCCTTATTCTCTCTATATTTCTCCATCAAACCTCTCAATTGCTCTCAATAAATGTATGGCTTCCATAGTAGAACTATCAGGCATGAATCCAAATTGATTTTGAGAAACATTAGAATCACGCCGCAACCTATGCTCCATAACTCGCTCCCAAAGTTTTTAAGTATGACACATTAACTTAATTCCTCTATAATTCACACAAACTTGTGCATCACCTACATTCTTAAAAATAGGAATTAACATACTCATTCTCTACACATCTGATATCTTTTTAGTCTTCAAAACAGTAATAAAAAGTTTAGTAAGCCAAGAAATTCCTTCATCTCCTAAGCATTTCCACACCTCTATTGGAATATCATCAGATCCAACAGCTTTCCCACACTTCTTTAAAGCCTCTCTAACTTTGATTTTACTAATACGTCGATAAAACCAAAAATCTTTATTTTCATTTAGGTTGCTAAGGTCACTAAAGTCAATTGTATTTTCAATCTTAAGAACACAAATCCAAATCCCAAAATTTGTTGTTGCTACTATACATCGAATACTTAGATCTATTTAATGACTAAACTTAATAAAGAAGTTTTATCCCATAATCATGAGAGGTAATTAACTATATGGGCTTGCGCATATCGAAAAACAGACCTCAAATCATAAATTTTTTGTAAAATGAGGGCGGAATCTTTGAGTAGTATCTTTTGTTAAAACTCTCCTTGTTGATAAAAGCATGCAGAGAGGCTAGGGTGTGAAATTTTGGAGCTCACACCAACACTGGTCTCTGGCATTGAATTCTCCACCAAGCTCTCGATAGAACTCTCGTCACTTCATACAGTAGCAAGCACCCATTGAAACTTTGAATTGAGCTCACAAGTCGAGCTTAAACCTTTTATTTTTCCAACGAGTCGAGCTTGTGCTCGTCATTTGAGCTCATGCTCGAGTTTGAGCAAGGCATAAGTAGGCCAACTGAGCTAGAGTTAGCCCTAACTCAACTTGACTCAACTCATTTACACCCGTAGCTTCGATTGACTTTTGAGAGAGTTTTTTTTTTTTATACACACCATTTCCCCATTTCAAAAGGCTATAAAATGGAGTGTTATAGGGTTTCAAAATGCAACACCTTCCTTAAGCTTTGAAATCTTCTACTATCATTTGTTCTTTAACTGATCTTCCCATTCCATATTAAGGAACTTCAAGAAGCTAAAGGTTGATCCTCTAGCGAACACCTTGAACCAAAAGAGGTTCAGTGGTGGTGGTGAAGACTAGTGTTGAGGAGGTTCAATGAGTAGCATTGATAAGAGGCCAGTTACGATATTGTTGAGCCAGTGATGGGTTCCTAAATTTAGCAGACATAAGATTAAAGGTGGTTGATAGTTGAAGATTATTTGTGACAATCTCTATGGAGAATCACAGATGTTGATTCGATCAAGTAACAAGGTGTTTCACGTCAGATGAGGCCAATAAAGGTGTCCGAAGAGCATATTAGCAGTGACCTGAAGGATGAATTGACTTAGTGAATTGATCAGCAATGATACTTATGACATCAGACTTAAAGGATACACAATAGTGAAATGATGCCATAGCTTGAGATCCATTTTGAAGAAAACTTAAGCACTAAATCACCATTAATCTAATGTTTTCCTTGCATTTTTTAAAATTCAATAAATCCACAGGTTCCCAAAGCCAAACAGGCTTTAGGAAAACAAAACAAAACAAAAAGGCTTTAAAGGACTCATTTGTGGGCAACATCTCAATCAACAAATCTTATACGTAACTATTATTTACATAAAATAATTTGTATTAAAAAAAAAATCTTATCATTTGGTCTCAACTATAAGGTAGTGCTCATAAGATTCAAGCATTTATCATTATATTTCAATGATCTTGAGCACCTCTCACAATTAGCATCATCAAATCAATGAAAACGTAAATGTATGAGCGGTTACGTGAGTATGAAAAGTGAATAAAGTGTTTAAGGTATAAATCGTCAAGAATAATTAAGATATAATGCTATAGTTACATGTGTAACTGTACAAGAACTTCTAAGGTTTTAAGAGATTCAAGTTTAATCAACAAATTTGTCTCACTATTACCTGATTCTCTGCTCGAGCAGCATCCAGGTCAAGTTCTTTCAAATTTGTATTCTGAGAAGATAAAATCAACCAAAAAGAAGTGGATTAGCAGACAATATGCACAAAAACAAAAAGAAGCGATTTGTATGTCTTTTAACTTGCCAAAATTGTCATTGGGAGTAAAGCCTTCTCATAGTATGCTTTTGTGTACTGAATACTGTTTTCTTCATCAAAAAGTGCATTCTCGATGAATTTCTGGTCCATGTACTTTTCAGGATGAGCCTCTTCATCATCTAGGATCATTTGCTCCGCAACATGTAGCTGCCACAACTGTAACAAAAAGATAAAACTATATTTGTAAATAATAGTAAACAAGAGAAGAAATTCTAGAGCTTGTAGGACAAAAATATGATGCTTCAAGTACTACAAAAACTAACAACCAACACTTACATTGTATTACAGATTTTCCTAGCCAAATCAAGGTAAAATACTTCAGTAACCAAAAGAGAATTTGAAAAGATTGCTATGGAGAAACTACCCGGTCAACATAAGGGTGATCTGATAGTAAAGACTGGTCTTCCATCTTGACTGGAGGTCTTTTCCTAGGTATTGGTGGCCTTCCACACTCCCGCTGTAAAGCAAACGTAAGAATAAAATAAATTGTAAAAGAGATAGCCGATATCAAGAAGAAAAATAATCACCAGAAACCTCAACAACCATCTTTCTTCCCCCTTCTAAATTCCAAAGCTTAAGTGATGACATTAATTTCCTTTCATTGAAATGAAGAAGATAAGTTGGAAAAGTAGAAGTGTTTCATTTATCATAACAATCTCCTATTTATTTATGTTTCAAATCAGTTATGTTCTTCTTTAACATGAAGCATATACTTGACGGGTATTAGTTATGCCCCAAAAGATACAAGCATTAGTTTTTTAAACTTTACTCATGCCAGTCGAATTTCTTCAAGAGTCTTAACCGCACTAATCCTTAAGAGATTTGATGCAAAATGACTCGACCAATATGATAATCTTTTTAGCAAAGAAAGTTTTAGCATTTATTCTAAGTCTAACGAAGTTGAAAAGTATGTTCAAGTACAGATATGTGGCGATGTATAATTTCTTTTAATCAAGACTCAAAGAAGACCTAAATATAGAGAGTAGTTTTTGAATCTTCAACAATCTTAGAACGAAACCACAATTCTTCAAATTTGCTCATGTATTAAGTAAAAAATTTAGTCAATTGTTTTAATGAATTAAATTCATTAAGCACACTCAAGATAAAAAAAGGTAAATATTTCTCTTTCAAAAGTTCTATTATTTTAGTCCACGTGGTAATAGATTCCCTTCCAAATGTTTCCCTTTATCTTTCTACTCTCATCTAACAGATTTTAGTTTGCCTTGTTAATTTCATATTCTTGAATCTCACATGCTTCTCATCTGAAATAGTTTCATTCAAAGAAAGTACAGAAAAATCAGTCCCCAGAATATGGTCTAATTTAGTCCCAGAATATGACATTTTTCCAACTTAATCCCTCAACTATACAGAAGTGATCCAACTAATCCCTCATGTTGTAATTGTGATATAAAATTGATCATAATTTAGTCCCTTGACTTTACAAAATTGATCTCAATTTAATCCAGAAGGATCATTTTGGATCAATTTTGTACAGTCGAGAGACTAAATTGGAGCAACGTGATATTATAGGATTAAAATGACCATATTAAATAGTCGGGGGACTATTTTGAAATTTAACCCAAAGAAAATATATGTCTAGCAACCAACAAATAAAGGCATTAAAAGAAAATTTATCAACACAGGTAAACAATTCAAATAATACTTTCTAAATATGTCTTCATCTTTGCCAAAACTTTAGCATTTATAATTTTCATAAACACCTTAAATTATTATCTTGATTATTTCCCTATGTCCTACCACTTTTTAATATTTAATTGGCTTAATTCGTCATTCTGATTGGAATTCACTTCAGATTGAGACGTGTCTTAAACACACTTTTTAGACATTGAAACTCACAGATAACTTATGGTCACACCAACCTCTAAACGCTTGTTGGCCATGCCTAGTACCTTTAAGCCACAAGTGGTCATATACTTTATGCTTCTAAACTATTCAATAAAAATAAGTACGACCAAACCTTTACTAGTGTTGGCTCAAGAAAAATGGCACGAATGCACAAATCCCGCTTTGCAACCGTAGGATTCCATTTCCCTTAAGTCAGATTGAAGTTAACCAGATTTCCCCTGAGGGTAATTGATGCAGCGCAATACTCCCCATGTGCACGGTTACCAGGTTCCTTTTACAGTAGCTGTTTCCAAGTATTCGGTTAGGCTTTGAGCCCCACTATCTTAGTACTATTTCTGTTATTATTAGCTTTTTATTTGCTTTCGCTGAGTAGTATATTCATAGTAATGATAGGTAACCTTACCACTGGGAAGGGATACAAATACAATCTCTGTATTGGAGAAGCACACTTTTTTACACATATACAAAAATACAGATACTTTACTGGGACATTTCTTCCCTGTTCTTTCTGCTTTTCTTTGGTTTCAGGTCTTTACCGGAGTCCAGCGCTGCTGCCGATCCAGGGTTGCGTCAGGTGGTATCAGAGCCAAGCAGCGGGATGACAGAGAAGGGCAAGGAGCCGGTGGTTGAAGACAACAGAAGCCTGGAATCGCTGTGGGCAAACCAGGCCAGCATCGTGCGACAACTGGAAGTGTTGTCCGCAGATGTGCAGCGCCTATCCGTCGAAGTTCGCCGGGAGTTTAATCTCAACCGGACAAGGACAGCACCCCAGTTTCCTCGTCGAACTCCAGCTCGGGCTATCAGTCCGAGAGCTAGACGTGGTATGGACCTTGATCGGCATAGGCGACGCATTCCCCCACCGATTGGTGATCTATCTGATTCGGAAATTGAAGGGCATTGCCAAGAGAGATTGCATTTGGGAATCTCTGAAGAAGACGGGGACAGTGACGAGAATGCCGAGTTGTATAGGCGACCGCAACGACCTGTGCTTCCTCCGAGAATTCACACAGAGTTTAAAGCCAAGGTAGATATACCTTATTTTGACGGCCATATGCACATTGAGGACTACCTAGATTGGGAGAGAGCGGTAGATAATTTTTTTGATTATATGGAAGTAGAGCCAGCTAAACATGTGAAGTATGTTGCCTGCCGTCTCCGAAACGGAGCGGGTGCTTGGTGGAATCAGGTGCTCCATATGAGGCAAAGAGAAGGGAAGGGGCCTGTGCGTAGTTGGACGCGAATGAAGCAGTTGATGCGATCGCAGTTCTTACCGACAGATTATGAGCAGATTCTGTATATCAAGTATCAACACTGCCTACAAGGAACTCGCTCCGTCAGTGAGTATACCGAAGAGTTTCACCGGCTCAGTGCAAGGAATAATTTGAATGAATCCATGAATCAACTTGTCGCACGTTATGTAGGCGGCCTCAAGGAAAGCATCCAGGATAAACTGCAATTGAATTCAATTTGGTCATTAGCCCAGGCCATCAACTTCGCATTAAGAGCCGAAACACAGTAGAATCGTCAATCCAAATTCTCCTATACGAGACGTTCCTTTCAAGAGGTTGTTGGTGACCATGTCAAAGGAAGCTCCTCGTCTGCCAAGACCATATCAATTAATAGTCCTCAATCGCAGACAACAGCTGTGCCGAAACCTTCAGGGACCGCTCCAGAAAATAAGCCCCTGCATCAGTCTAAATACCCTGCGCCGAATAATCCTTATGCTCGGCCTTCAACCCTGAAGTGTTTCCGTTGTTTTCAACCCGGACACAAGTCAAACGAGTGTCCACAGCGACAACAGTTACAACTGCTGGAGAATGCTGAAGAGGATGATCAAGTAAATGTGGAGGAAAATCTCGAAATCGAGGAAGTTGAAGCTGATGAAGGTGAGACTTTAGTCTGTATGATTGAGAAGTTATTGTTGGCTCCTCGTTTAGCTAACCCATCGCAACGTAATGCCATTTTCCGCACTCGTTGTACAATTAATGGAAAGGTCTGCGATCTCCTAATAGACAGTGGATGCACAGAGAATATAATCTCGCGTTCGGTAGTTCAGGCGCTGCAGCTCAAAACAACGAGTAATCCTCAACCGTATAAGATCAGTTGGGTCAAGAGAGGCATGGAGATACCAGTTACGGAAATGTGTCAAGTTACATTTTCGATCGGGAGGCAATATGTATGCGAGGTGCTTTGCGACATTCTGGAAATGGATGTTTGCCATCTAATTCTGGGCAGACCTTGGCAGTTCGACGCCGGAGTGACCTATGATGGAAGAGCTAATGTTTATTCCCTAGATTGGAAAGGAAAACGGTTGAAGCTATTACCGGGACCTCGGGATCACAAGGCGACATCCTCAAATTCATCCACCGTGATGCACATAGTATCTGGGCCCAAACTGTTACTAAGTCAAAGTGAAGAGGAGCCAATGTGGGCGTTGATAGTCACAGATGGGACTGTGTCCCAGCAGGAAGAGCTCCCAGATGATATCGCCACTCTATTGGAAGAATTTAAAGCAATTTGTCCAGAGGAATTACCTGCTGCTCTGCCACCAGTGAGACACATTCAGCACCAAATCGACCTCCTCCCTAATGCTACGCTTCCTAATCTAGCTCATTACCGGCTAAACCCCAAAGAGCAGCAAATATTGCAGTCTATCATTGAGGGATTATTAGAAAAACGGATGATCCAACCCAGCATTAGTCCGTGTGCGGTCCCAGCTTTGCTGGTACCTAAGAAGAATAAGGAGTGGCGTCTTTGTGTAGACAGCCGGGCCATAAACAAAATCACGATTAAATACAGGTTTCCCGTCCCTCGTATTGACGAATTGCTGGATAAATTAGTCGGGGCGTCTATATTTTCCAAATTGGATCTCCGCAGCGGCTACCACCAAATCCGTATTCGTCCAGGTGACGAATGGAAAACAGCGTTTAAAACGCCTTTCGGATTGTATGAGTGGCGTGTTATGCCCTTCGGCCTCTGCAACGCCCCCTCTACCTTTATGAGATTGATGCAGGATATACTTAAACCAATTTGGGGAAAGTTCTGTATTTCATATTTTGACGACATTCTAGTCTACAGTGACTCTTTGCTACGCCACCGAGAACATCTCAAACAGGTGTTTGAAATCTTGTTAAAGCATCAACTATTTTTGAATCTTAGCAAGTGTCAGTTTGCAACTTCTCGGGTGCAATTCCTTGGTTTCGTGGTTTCCGCAGATGGCCTCATGATGAACCCGGATAAGGTAACTGCTATTCTTAACTGGCCAATTCCAAAATCTTTTACAGAAATACGAAGTTTTCATGGATTAGCGAATTTTTATCGCAAATTTATCAAGGGCTTTAGTATTATTATGAGTCCGCTCACTGAATGTTTAAAATCAAAGTCCTTCCATTGGGGTGAACCCCAACAAAACTGTTTTGATGCTATAAAAACAGCCTTAACATCCGCACCAGTGCTCGCCATCCCAGATTTTGAAAAGTTGTTTACTGTCGAAACGGATGCTTCGTGTCATGGCATAGGGGCGGTGTTATCACAGGATGGAAAACCGGTGGCCTTTTTCAGTGAGAAACTATGCCCCTCGAGGCAAAAATG